TTTCACCAACATACTGTTTGGAGCAAACTTTAATATATATATAATGAAGCTTTTACATAAGTTTCAACTTTTCTGACACAATGGTTATTGAGACAGGGCAGTCACTGTCCTTTTTTTGATACAAAGTCCGGCTCCTACTAGATTGGGAAAATTATGGAGGTTTGGTATCAAATTGGAAAATTTTAGTTTCATACAATGATTAAGAAAACTATTAAAACAAGAATTGATTGTTCTAAGGTAAAGACAAGAACAATAGAGTAAGTTCAATTAGGTTTTAAACTAACACAGTTTAATATTTTTATACACACAACGTACAGTTTGTGATATTGAGAATTTCTAGAAAAGTAAATTGGGATTTTTTTTTTTTTTTTTTTTTTTTTTTGGGGGGGGGGGGGGTCCCAGTTGGGAAGGGTATTTATCGGTATCAAATCAGAGAGGTTGACGGCTCTTAACTACTTCACTTCATTTGAACAAGCTTGAATCCCCTTTATCCACGGATGCTTTGTGGCAAGTTTGGTTGAAATTGCCCCAGTAGTGCTTGAGAAGAAGCTGAAGATGTGAAAGGATTACAGACGGACGGATGGATGTACAAACAAACGACAGACAAAATGTGACTAGAAAATGTCAAGCCCAACATCAATTATATCGGCATATGTATAAGAATAACGCAAAAAAATAATTCCAGATAATCATTACTACTGAACAAAAAAATAACATTCAATCTCCAAGTATATATTCAGAGATAAAGAATAGCCTGATATATAAGATATCTCAAGAATTACGGAATCTTGAAACATCAGAGTGATAAACACCAATCCTGGACACAATTTTTTGACCTAAACCTTTTCTCCCTAAAGTATTGAGAGTAATGCTAAATAATACAACTTGTTTACTTATTTATCTGCCATACACTTCTATCCTTCTGTCTTCCTGTCTGTCTCTCTGTGTGTGTGTAAATCTCTCTCTCTCTCCCTCCCCCCCTCTCTCTCTCTCTTCACGGCCTTAGAAAATATTCTTCAACACAATATATCGGAGACAAAATGTGCAAATGTTTACAGTATATATTGTCGCCGACGACAAAATGTGCCGATGCCTGACTGTACATTTTGTCGTCCATTATCCAGGAGGAAAAATGGCTCTTCTCGGTACATACTGTGGCCGGCGACAATATGTACCGATGGACGACAATATGTACCGTCAAACAGGCTCATGCCAAGAAGTACTTGAATAGGTGTATAATTACTTGTATGGGTAACTGCAAATGTTTCAGATAAGAGTAAAGTTAGCTTGTACTGCTCTATGCAGCTGTGACTGCTCCGAAGATTAGGTCTTATGAGTACTATAAAACAGCAACAACCTGTAATTTAAATGGCCGAAACTTGAATAGCCAATGATATTTCCTATTCAGGTATCGGACAAGGAACATATGTGCTTAATTTGATGCTCGTTTCACAAAGTCAAATATTTTATCAACCATCCGCTCCACTAAGTCTTCTTTTAGAATAAAGTTTTAAATAGAGATTTAATTAGTCTTTACCACTTACCTTGAAAAATTTATATTAAAAATACCTGCCATCGGGGTAATTTTTTCTCAAGTTCCTGATCACAGGATATACTAGGTATGAAATTAAAAAAAAAATCCCGGAGTTTTTATTTTTTATTTTTTTTTCATCTGAATACAAAATAAAAATCTCACACTACATTAAGATCTTTGAAACCGTATCACTTAAGTTCCTTGAATATGAATAGAATAAATAAGCAGTACAATACAGACTATGCTATATATATCAAATACAAAACTAATCACAATGTATATTTATTTGATTCTCGAAAGTATCCTCTTAAAAATCACCAATGATAATATGAGTACAAAACATTTATCAAGGGTCTCTGAAAAAAAGATTTTGGTTTAGTTTCATTTTCCTGCTACAAAAATTGAATATCACTTCAATAAAAATTAATATCGAATCATTGTAGGATAGGGACTGTGAATATTATGATATCTGTCTACAGGGATATTGTACCTTAGGTAGGTAAAATGAGAGAGAGAGAGGGAGAGAGAGAGAGGGGGGGGGGAAATCATTGAAATCGTGCAAGTAATTTTCTTTTTTGAATAAAATTCTTTACTTCAAATTTAGATAAACAAAGAAATAAATTGATCACTATTCGTTATCTATACCTCTTACAATTAGTTAACATAATGAGCTAAACGGAATATCTGGAATAATAGTATGTGATTAATTCCATTCAGATGAAGATTCAAACCCAATAGCTTACGCAGATACATTCATTTAAACCTGATTTAATCTTCATAAAATTCCAATATAATATGTTTTGCAGCTTACGCAAACCATTGCAGTTTCTCCCACTTTTTAATAAAAATCACACCCTTTTTCTATATTCATTTGACATTTGAAGAAAAGATAATAATCAAGGGATTTCTTTAAAGACAGGATTTGGAATACTATTTATACTGAATAAAAATAATGAAATTATCTTATATATTTCAGACACTGGGACACGCTGTGGACTGGTAAGTTGTACATATGTAAAAGGTTAACCCCTGAGAAATATTAGCTATTTGAATGTTCTAATAGATTCGCATACTTTGAAGTATACAACACTGTGTATTTTTTAACGGGTTTTTTCAATACTAAATAAATTTAAAAAAAATTACTCTGTGTTTGGTCAATAGCAATTTTACATCACGTGACAGCAAATAGAAAATTTACTGTCTTGGGGGTGATAAACTGCCTTGTAGTCAATAAAACGTACATTTGTATACCGTGTTTTAGTACCAAGCTTGCCCACATGGACAAGGATGTAGTAGAGGAAGATGCATAGAGGGTGAGTATAAAATTTCATTTTCATGGATGTTTGAGATTTTCTGTTGCTTTCAGTGATACGAATACACTGTCCACTGAACTTTAAAAAGAACAACATTGATCCAAAAATTACATGAAATACGCCAGAGTGAAAATTACCAGCTTTTATAGTCTTTTATTTGCCAATTTTACATGGAGATTGTAATTAAAACAATTACCCAATTTGGCGCTTAAATTCACGAATAGTCAATGAAAAGTCTAGTTGCAGAAGTTATAGCTTTACTTTTATAAAAGCACATTATTTAGTGTTGAAGAAATAACTTTGTAGCAATGAGACCATTGAAATCCAAAAAAAAAAAAAAAAAAAAAAAAAAAATCATCTTTCATTGCAATTCTTAAATCAATGTAGCAGTTCAAGTAACTTTTCATAGATATACGAGGGTTGTTCGGAAAGTTCGTAGACTAGCTCAATGAAATTAAAACCCGCTTAAGATACATCAATGAATTTTTTAACGTTTAATTAGCATCATCATTTTTATTTATGTAATAAACTATACATCATTAGTTGTATTTTTTAATAAATTGTTGATGTTTTTGAAAGCAGTGGTATGTCCAGGTGGCGTAACCTAAAAGATAACGTTTTTTTCTACCTAAGTGTAATTGAGAAAAAATCTTTTTTGATATGAACATTTGTCAACCAAAAATGCTGTTGATTCATCCATGTGGTATGACATAATTGTACCGTAAATTTGCAATTTTTACCCATTTTGTAACTTATATGAAATTTTATCGTAAATTTTATATAAAATGTCCAAACAAAAAAGGGGTTGTAATGACGTCAGAAAGGGAGCTGGGTTTCTTTTTTCAATATTCTTAAAAGTTTCACCCCCAAAGAAACTGGCATAGACATAGGAAATATTTAAATGTGCTACTGAAAAATAAAATGAATATAGAGTAATTATTTTCAAATGCCGAAAAAGATAAGAGAGACGAGAGATGTTAAAGCTAATGTCGATTTGTAGTAAGGGTGTCCAAAGTTTGTCACGTCGAAAAGTGACGTTGATCATGTTTGATAGATGTTGAACTCCGACAAGCAAATATGCTGTTACAATCAAGTTACGATCTTTCACTATGTATAGAGCTATTTACAATATTATATGCAATGAAATCAGCTGTTCATGACATTGTAAAATCATATAAACAACATGGGTTTAAATCTTTATTTAACTCCAGGGAATCTCATCAAGATAAGTGTATGAGGTAGAGAATGTGGACACTGAGAAACAATGACGTCATGAAACTAAATGGCGACAGCGCCGGGTGATCATATAATGTCTTTTTATTTTGATAATAATCTGGTAAATATTCAAGCTATCAAGCTAAAATTTTCAACATTTCTTTAACTTCTGTTGTTTTATGTTCATTAAAAATTTTGTAAGCATAAACTACATAGTATTAATTTTATCGCATGAGTCCACGAAATTTTCTCAAAATTTGTGGAAATGAAATGCTTCCTTTTTTAAATTTGTTTTACGTAACTTTATATCTGTCTTTATGTATTTCTGTATGATTTATGCTGGTGAAAAAATAAAAAAAAAAAATCAGTATCCATACATTTTTAGAATATCCATCTGAAAATCTAATTCCTTGTCCTAATGTGCAACATTTCATGTAAAAAATATTTAAAATGTATTATCACTTCTTTTAATATATCACTAAGACAGATAAACATGTATAAAAAATCAGCCTTATTTAATCTCAATTGTCATAAAATTTTGAGTTAAAAATTTTAAGGAATAATATTGAAGGAGAATGTCAAGATTGAATTCAAAACTGATTTAGTAATAATACCTCTTATCATTTCAGGTCTGGAACAATGCGATGAGGTATGTTATAGAAAAACTTCTATGATTAATGTAACACAGCAAAAGAAACCCCAATATTTTCACTCTTTTTGTCTTTCAATATCTAATGGTGAACCATACTTTAAACCATGTCACTTACTGAAGCATATGAAAGATTATTTAATTATCATTAAAAATAACATAATAAGGTACTTTTAATTGGTAGTGTAATAAATAAAACCAGACATAAGAATGTGCTCACTCGAAGATTTACTGAGCTTTCCGGATTTAATTCTTAATTCTCTATAAAACACATATTTTATTTTATAGTATAGATGTCCTCTAGGACAGGTCTGTAGGAGTGGATATTGTGTAAGAGGTAAGCATAACATGTTCCTAAATTGATTTTGTAGTCTGTCGTTTCAACAACACCAAAATATGAACCGATTTTGTTATTTGACAAAAGTTATATAAGGATATAAAATAGAATTGACGTTTCATTGAAGTTTTCTTTCTTTACATTGAAACCGTAAATGTAGTTTTAAATCTTTGTAATAACGTCTTGGGTAATTGAAAAAGCCCCCCCCCCCCCCCAAATATATGTCTTGATAGGTTACTTTTCTGAACAGAATCTCTGGAAGAAGTACATATATACCGCCCTTCTTTCATTACGTGATTTTAACGAAACTCAATTGTCGACTGTACTGAATACAATATTAAAGCAAGAGAACTCTCAGATCTATCGGCATGAGCATCACTAAAGAGACATAATTTGTCGAAATGCGCATCTGGTGCATCAAAATTAGTACCGTATATTATAAATTATGACCCCTGGGTCGATGGGTCGAGGCCCCTGCTGGTGGACTGTTAGTCCGCGAGGGTCTCTACAGACCAGTTGCTAAGTACTCTTCAACTCTTCAAAGTTTTTTTTTTTTTTTTTTTTTTTTTTTTTTTTGTTGTTTTTTTGTTGTTGTTTTTTTTTAATTATATATTTCGGATTTATAACATTTTGGCATGAGCATCACTGAAGAGACATAATTTGTCGAAATGCGCATCTGATGCATCAAAATTGGTACCGTAAATTATATACATTCATAAGATATTATGTTAGAAATTCATAATTCGTGTCTCTTTTCTTATCTCGTCTTTTACCATGCACTTTTAATGGAATACATTAAGAAATTGTTTACACAATTAGGATTTAGTTACGGATTGTCAGAAATCCGACGCTTAATCAGCAAATACGTGCAAATAACTTTTGATATACATCTCAGGTTTCCTATATATCTTGAAACAGTGCCCATTGAAACATATCATAACTTGAAAATATTTAAAATCCGAGAAACCTTTTTTTTCTGGGGGAGGGAGAAGAAGGGAGGGGCTTTCATGTTTAAAGAAATCTAATAAAGTCCTTAGAAGGGTTCACTATTCCAAGATTCTTTTTAACCGCTTGTCAGATTTTTACACTCGCTAGAGACCACGATTTGTTTAATACCATCGGTCGTTTACATGTGTGTCGTATATTAGCTAGTAGAAAGTAGAATTGAATATAATCACAAAATATGTAGAAAGTATATGATAGAAATATAGACTTAGTTATTTTCTTGTTAAATAAACAGAAATTTAAGCTTGACCAAGCTGCATTCGTTAAAATAAATAGAAAATTTGCATTGATTATCAATAATATAAGATGTAAAAGAAGATTTGATATTATTTTTGTTTGTTTGTTTGTTTTTGGTATGTTTTGTTGTTGCTGTTTTTTTCTTTTTTTAATTTCTTGCTTTTTTTGTTTTATTGTTGCAAAATACGTTAATTAGCATAAAAAACAGAAATTTCTTTACTTAAAGAACAAATATGGATCAAGATCAAACTATGCAATTAATATCAGACATGTTTTTTTTTTTTTTTTTTTTTTTTTTTTTTTTTTTTTTTTTTTTTTTTGTTTGTTTGTTTGTTTGTTTGTTTGTTTTTTTTTTTTTTTTTTTTTTTTTTTTTTTCAATTGTAGATAACTATAGGCAATGCAGCAGGGTAAGTAAAGGCATACTCGTATCCATCTTTAAGTCAGGGCAGAATAAAAAATGTCTCATTAACCATATATTTGATCTTTCAAATATTTCACTGAAAGCTTTTGAATCTTAAATAAAAGATGTTTAAGTTTTATTAATCTACAATTTATTTATTTTTTTTATTATTATTTTCAATGATTCTTTGGGTATGATCAATCGGCTTTAATATGAAAAGTACGATATAAAAATTTGAGAATGAGTTCTAACAATATGAACAGACTGCATGTATCTCATATAATATCAAGAATTAAAAAAAACCATATTGAGATAACTGCAAAAGTAGTATTTAAATATGATCTCTTTCAATGAAATAATTAAGTTATTATATGATTTAATAATTCCTATCTCTCTAATTGGCTGAAATCGAACATTGTAGAAAGAAAATATTACGTTATGTTCACCTCCACGTGAGCTTCCACGCGAACATAAAGACTTATTGTTTTCTACATTGGACTAATTTTATAAATATAGATCGGCAAATTTCAAACTGTTACAAATAATTTTGGAAAGTACATTCACTTGCACCATGATTCAACTCAGGTAAACATAACATTCAGGCACATGAAATCTGGGTGTGGGTGTGTGGAGGGGGTGTAAGGGGCCTGCACAATGTATTTACAACAGTTATCAAAATACAGTTGCTTAAATGTAAAGAGAAAATGCCAATTAATGAGATTGGTATTTTTAAAGTTCTTACAAAAGGAAAGCAAAAAAAAAAAAAAAAAAAAAAAAAAAAAAAAAAAAGCAAGAACAAAAATTGGGCGGAGGGATAACATATATTTACTTCTGCATCTACAGTAGCTGATTGATTTGAACAATGTACATGTATTTCTTTCTGCTTTAAGAGTGTAATTAATGCATTAAGAGTGTAATTAACCTGTCAGTAGAAAAATTGTTCCGTCACCAGTGGTAAAAATTTAATTGCGCGGAATTTCATCTAGAATAAAATAAATCAAACTGCTATGAGTTAAGGATAAACTCTAAATCACCTTATAGGGCATTATTGAGAAACTTTGAATGAAAAATTAAACTTAATGTGGCTAAACATTCATTGTGCATTGTCCCTACGTAAGCACTTGTTTCGATATCTTTTTCAAGATTTTGGAAAAAAAAGTAGCATTTGTCCTTAAAACGAAGCTTGATTTATTGTTATTGCCTATTACAAAACAATATGGAAGACTAAAAACAAAGCCTGATACTGTATGTATTGAATTAATTACAGGGTAAACAATATTTTATTAATATCGTAAAAAATTGAAATCCAGATATTGATGATATTCATATTGTCACAGATTGGAGTTTGTCCACCTGGACAACTATGTGTGAATGGGAGATGTCAAAGTAAGTACTCCATGGTTAATCATTTCTTACTTATATTAAACAAATATAGTCTTTGTTTGTATATAAGTATATATAAGTTGCTAAAATACTGGTCCAAATGAAAAATGAAATGAATGGGACCGCAACGGAGGTTCAGAATGTTGGAGGATCAATAGTAATATTATTTAAGGATAGATCTTGAATGTACGATGGCCGACAGCGGCCGCCATTTTCTGATTAAGAATATTGTCATTTTATACGGTGTTTTTGTCAATTTTCGTACACAAATAAGAACTAAACTGGTTATGCTATATGTACATTTTTTACACCGACAATTTCCACCAGCGAAAAACATTAAAATTCTTTCGTGTGATATGAAATTAAGAAACATAAAACAGGTGATTTGAAACAGATAAGGTGCAATTTAGTGATTTTCACTCTCAGTTAGCCTGAGATATCCAATTAATACTAATTAACCCAATTAATACTAGATGCTATGACGTAAAATCGTTATTCTGTCACCTTTCTTGTTGTATCATTAAAAAGATATACTTGGGATTGTAATTAAAAAGGCAGACAAAATCAATACGTTTGTTGTAATGGATATACATCATGTATCTCCTCAGAGTGTATGAGACAACTCGATTCTGTCTATTATGTAGAGGTAGAAAAACAGGATTGAGTAGCTCTACATGTGAGCATCCAATATAAGGTTTTTGGAATGTTTTTGATTTTTGGAATCAAACGGAAATGCATTCGTTTTTAAGGTAGTACGATCCTCAGGTTCTGAAAATCAGTTTTTAAGGAATTGAAAAAACTCACAAAAATGTCTCTGATTTCACATAGTGACGTGAATTTTCCCATGAAATTTCTTCAAAGTTCAACATTACAGTGTATCGATCAAATTATATAGGGAAAATCATCAAATCTCAAATATATATTTTCAGGAAATGCGAATAAAAACATCAGCTATGCATTTTCTAATTGAAAATTGATCAACAAATATAATTTAGGATAGAAAAACATAGGTATCCAGGCATTTGGAGAACATTGCATCTTTTTTATGCTTGTACAGTATTTTAGTTCTTCTTTTTACTTCAATTGTCATATAATACATAGTGTAAAAAGCTTATGCTATCATTGCTAGACATCTCATATCACATATTTCATATTATGCTAATAAGCAGTGGTATCTAATGCTAGAATAAAGGAAATTCGATTTCTTTAAAATTGAATTTATTTTTTTCTGTTATTGGGTACAAATATCAACGTTTTACAAGACCATTTCTAAGACTTCAAAGAACCTTGAATCATATTAAAGTGCATGAAATGAAAATTGTTGCACGAAAAGATTTCAATTTCAAGCTTCATTTTGAGACTTTTTAAATAAATTGTGCCAGCCATCTGCGAGAAAATCCCCGGACACAGTTCTTAGGCGTACAATAGCAAAACATATATACAAATACATGCACTGAAATTTGATTGGCTATATCGGAGTAGTTTTCCAATAAAATACCTTTAAAGTGTCCATCTATATAAAGTGTCCATCTATATTACAAAAATATTGCCTAATTTAATGAAGCTTGAAGGGAATGGGGTATCATAAGGGATTGAGGAGCCGTTTGGAGAACATTTGTAACAGTTCCCATTATCATTAGCACTAGTTATGTCGCCCCGAACGAAGTCGGTCGACATATTGCTACTGTACGCCTAAAAACTGTGTCCGGGGATTTTCGCGCAGATGGCTGGCACAATCTTCCTGAAACTTTTCACAAAAGACGATCACTAGTTGACAAAAACGCTGTACAAAATGACAATATTCTTAATCAAATGTGGCGGCCGCTGTCGGCCATCGTATGAATGACAACGTGAACATTTTTTTTTTTTTTTTTCACAGCAATATCATTGCATTGCATGTACACGTGCAATAGAAAACAGGAAAAAATGGAAAAAAAGGAAGTTCTAAACGTGTACAATATGTTTGTCTGTGGTTTATTATTTTTTTCATCAATATTAAACCTATACAGTCGTGGTAGTATTGCGATATGCAATTGTTTTTTTTAATACATCATGTAAAATGGTCTAAATATCGATTTCTTAAGTATAATTATATCAGGTTTTTACAGATGACGGAAGCAGAAACTCATTGGCAAAGGAAGAAAAAGAAAGAAGGATATTAAAATCAAAATCTATGTCTTACAAAAATAAAAGTATGTTTGATGCAGTCTTACTCGTTTGGATTGTATGAAATAATTTGATTTATATAAGAAAAGTTGAAAAAGCAAAGGATTAGTTTAAAACTTATTTTGGAAATCATTGGGAATTCATGGATATTCAACAAACAAACGAATACTTAGCATAACACCCACCTTCCCCCAACACAAACACACACACACACACACAGAGAGAGAGAGAGAGAGAGAGAGAGAGAGAGAGAGTATAAATCAATAAATCAACATCATTTTATGTTTATTTCAAAGATTAACATACTGATCATCAAATTGTAAATGTGCACAGGCCGTCACAACAACAAATGGTTACAATGGCAAGGCAATGACCCCTCAAGTGACAGAGGTCAGATGTTATTTTGGCCAGGTTGCAGAGATCAGATGTGTGTAATCTTTAAACACGGTTATATAAAAATGAATGCCCAAGAGACGTTTTTAGTCAACATCAGTTGCAGATGAAAATAAGAACCGTATCGGAGGAAACTATATGTGCTGAAAATGGCTTTATATGGGTGGGATGGATAGATATTTTTTTCAACCTCAATAAAGAGTTTAAATTTAACTGCTTCATTGATGTTGAATGATTGAAATTTTGTATTTGTTTACAGTTCTTACGTTGATGAACCAAAAAACTCATCACCAGTAGTTGGACTTCTCTATTGGACTTTTGAGAGAAGCGCTGACTTCTACAATCGACGACTTACTTTTTCTCTGGGACACTATACGGCAACTCTTTTGTGATAAAAATATTTAGCTTAACAGTTAATTAAACGATAATAATTGGGCAATTCAATGCACATATTACGTTTTCTAGGGAGGTGAAGGAGAAATACCCTATACTAACCCCCCTCCTATCCCATTTGACCAACTACTGCCAAGTTTTCATTCCGGAATGTTTTTTTCTTCCTTATTGGATTCCTTCGTAAAATGAGATTGAAATTAAATACTATCCCTCATGAATAAGGTATTTTAAGTTAATTAATTCTATCTCCCATCGTCTCTTGTGTTGATTGCATACAAGTAAATCATGTACGTGTCCCTAACACCATACCTATGACCACTAGTAAGGTTTTCTAATCTAATATCAATTCAGTACCACCGTACATGACACATGTTTAAATGTCAAAGTAAGCCGACGAGTGTAAAAGTCAGTGCTTCTCGCAAAAGTCCATTAATGACCAAGACAGGTACATGTGTACAATACAAAATTATATCGTTAACTTCTGCTCCGTGACGTTCTACAACGTCATCTTTTTTAGCCATTTTCACAATGAGGACTATCTATCTTCTGAATTTGATTTCTTTTCAACGAAGCAAAGTATAGAGCCATAATTTGGAATATATATTGATGTAACAATTCTTCATTTGCACGTCTAGGTTTTTTTTTTCTTTCTTTCTTTTTTATTTTTGTTTTTGTTTTGTTTGTTTGTTTTTTTTATTTGTTTTTGCTCCATTTTACAGGGGAATGACAACACACATTTTTTAGAATATTGTTTGTAAATTACTAAATTTTGACAGGCTCCGCGATCAGATTTTTGCAGTTTTTAATTCTGGATAAGTTTGAAATAAATCAAATTATTTTAAAAAGTTTTAATACACATTCCATTTTATAGATAAAACATTTTTACCATTTATGAAAATAATATGAGGTTAAGGGAAAAAAGTTAGGACAGAAGTCTGCGAACTTTCCAAACAGCCTCATGTATATAAACTGTTGAAGCATAATTTTGAGTGGTGATTAAATTTCGTTGATTTGTCATCTAAAATAGTTTCGCAGGCATTTGATTTCATTGTTTTGAAAGTAGACCTATTCAATATATAGTCATATAAAAATTCTGTGTGGAATTTAAATTCGGTGATATTTGTTAACAACGAAATGAACGAAATTTAATCCTCCACGAATATTTCTGATTTTACAGTATATATTACAGTGGCTGCAACGTTATTGTTGACAACTTACACGAACGATCACGTTACACGAACGATTCCGCACGATTAACGCACGATAAAACCTGTTACACGAACGATCCCTCACGCACACGATTCTACACGTTACACGATCTTACACGATTGCTAACGCAAACGCACGATTCTTCACGCAAAATAGTTCAAATTCTTTAGGAATGGATATTTTCAAAACGAAATAAGCCTTAATACTTATTTTAGATTTCCAATAATTATTGATATTATTTCATCGACTTTGAAAAATAATAGAAAAAATAGAAATGGATATTTCTGAAACTAAATACATGTAAGACTTATTAATTATTTTAGATAACAAATAATTATTTACATAATTCTCCGACTTAAGAAAATTGTTTTTTTTTCGTTCTATCAATAGATGTACATGTAGGTGGACCGTGAGTTTTGATTGAATTGGATTTCATAATATGCAGAAAGATATAAGTCTGAAAAAAATGGCATGAAAATGAATTAAATTATTAGTTTAATCCATGTTTTCATTTGTGAATCTCTAAACTCAACAATTATTTTACAAATCATTTATTTGCAGAAATTATAAAAATAGTAGTTAAAAGTAAGCTCCAGAGATAAACACTGATAAACGAAACCCCGACAATCATGTCGTGTACATGCACATTCGAAGACTAAATATTTATGTAAGCGTAGAAAATTGTTTATTTATTTATTTGTAAAAATATCTATTTTTGATCTATTGATTTCAAAAATATCCTGACCATAATTAGCAGTAAACATAATTAACATCAGAGAAAAAATCCTTAAACATCTAAGTACGGTATATCACAAAAAATCACGCGATTTGACGAAAACACAATATTGTACGACTTACTATATTGCTTATTTCCAAACGATAATTAGTTCGTTCTGCTTTCAATTATGTAAATCGCGTTTCATTCATTTTATTTGGATTGGGAAAAAAAATCTGACAAGCGAAATGCTTGTATAAAAAATATCATTCCGATAAAAACTTACAAAACGAAATTTACACGTTTCTTAACGCACGATCACGCACGATTAAAACCTCAAACGATTGAGTCTGATACACGCACGATCTCGCACGCTACACGAACGATCACGCACGTTACACGAACGATTCTACACGATTGGTTTGTCAACAATAACGTTGCAGGCACTGTATATATTATTTTATATACCTATTTACTGGCTATGAGGACAATAGCAACTTTATCGTCCCCCAAGACAGCAACTATTTCCCGAGGCGCAGATGATAATGGAATATATATATATATATATATATATATATATATATATATATATATATATATATATATATATATATATATATATATATATATATATATATATATATATATATATATATATATATATATATATATATATATATATATATGGGGTGTGTGTGTACATGTACATATAATGAACTTATTTTTTAGGTAAACTGATTTGAAATCTACTACTGAAATATAATTGCTTTATTTGATGTTTAGAGGGAGCATTACAGCAAGTGCTTATAGTTTTCAAATCAACATCTCTCAGTCCGTCCAGCGGTATAATTTCTCTGACTAATGATTGTTATTGTATTTACTTCCATTGAATTTTTACTATTTATATGTTTTGTTTGTTTATTTGTTGTTTAACGCCCCTCTCGAGAATTTTTCACTCATATGGAGACATCACCACTTGCCGGTTCAGAGCTGCACATTTATACTTATACTCGGCACTCAGGAACACTGAGCAGTGAGGAATCTTTTTCGTGCCAACACTTACTGCAACAGTGAACCTAGGTTTATAAGAAAGACTGGTCTTCAGGTCCCGCAGTGGATTTGAACTCGCGACGAAAAGGTCAGCTTCTTACTCCGCGACTCTAAAGCTGTGCCACGCGGGCGACCTATTTATAAAGATTCTTCGGAATTAATGCATTACAGCAAACCTTTTTACCGTATTCATCACTTTATGTTTATACAATGTTATTTATTTTCCCCTGGTTAGTATAATTTACAGGATACATTTTCCTATACATCGGAAATCATCCCCAAAGATCTTTTGCCGTATAGGAAAAATGCTCTCCAACATTCCGGACAATTCGAAATTAAATACATGTACAATCAATATGTTATTTTGATTGTTGATAACAATGAAATTAAACTTCAAGAATGCATGTACAAGATTCCGAGCCATTGAAATTTCTTATACTAAACTAAGAATATACTTGAGGACTGCTAACCCCAAATTACATGAAATTATCGTAAAAATGGAACTTGGATATATTATCGTCACAAAGTTTAAATTCACATTAACTGTAGCTTTTGCAATAAAAATTAGCATACATGCACTGCAATTTTCCTTATAAATTGTATAGATATAATATGCTGTAACTCTTGAAAAGAATTGCGGAGCAATGTATAAAAAAGCATACTCTATAAATGTCAAGAACATTTTGTTGTTATTGTACATATCTTCGGGAAGGTTAGTTGTAAGAGTTACTAGGGGTGGTTACTCTATGTCACTAGTAAATATTCTTTCTCAAATGAAGTTTTTTTTTTTTTTTACAATCATCATAATTATTCAATATACATATAGCTAACAAGTTAAATTAAATGTTTGAAACATCCAGGAATTTAGAAAAATGTTAGACATTTTATATTATCACTCTTTAGCACTGGGAGACATGTCTAAGTCCTTACATTGCATTAACGGAAAAAGGAAATCGATCTATTTTTGTACAACAAAAATTGCACCTTAGAAATAAAGTGATCGCTTAAATATATGCAGTTCTTTGAGATACGATGCATAATAAGTCGGTTATCATCCTTTGTATGTTTATTTTAAGCACGTTTATTTTTCTTTGTGCATGTTCAAGGGAATTTCCGATATGTGAAATGTATGTATTCCTTTTTTATTATTTATTCAAAACATCATTATTGTCACACGTCAATTAATGCTTAAGTTGGAAAGAATGTCTCACACAGAAAAAAATATATTTACAGGGCCTTCAAAAATTGCTGTTCAAATTACAAGTGGAATACAGAAACTC